GATGTGTCCGTGCATATATCGCGAGTCGTTAATGAGTGGTAATTGCCACGCGCTCGTGATACCCAACCTATGCATGGGTCCCTGTTTCCTTATCGGGACGTTTGCGTCGTCGTGCTAGCTTTCTGTGCTTACGCTATTGATGTTTTAGTCTGTATAATCAAGCGCGTCACTAACTGGGCACATGCCATTCCGCAGCGATACAGGTATGCTGAACGCGCGTCTGTTAGCAGTAGCCAACGCGATATATACGCGCGAGGTGGGCACACCTTATAGTCATCCGCGACTCAGTGAGCTCTTATCTCGGTCATTATGGACAGGACACTAAAGTACAATTTTGCGTTCAGACACATCGACTTGCCACGTCCATCTGTGCGGTCTGCACTGTCACGCAGTGGTAGTATCTATGTAAACAGCAGCTTATTCGTCGCACGTAGTTCCCACTCAATACTGTGGTTTAAATTGTGAGCGCCAATTAGTGCAATATACGCTATAAGAGCTGATGATACAGATAACATGGTTTTGCGTGTGCCCACGTGAGCGAGTGTACGTGCCATCTACGGTGACGCGTATGCAGATAGGGACGGTCAGCTTGCGGCTGTCCACAGTAGATACCATGTGCTAAATATTATTTGAAACGCGCTACTCTATTTAGGTGTGTCAACACAACTGACTGCGCGATAGGCAGATTACCGTATGTGCGGCTATAAACCTCGCACTGTAGCCAATATACTAAATACAAAGATAGGTAGAAACATGGAGGCCATAAAGGTATATTTACCAATTACTTGCTCTTCTGCTGCTTCTTTTGCTCGATGTACTTGGCGTTTCGGGCGGTCAGCTTGCGAGGGCGGCTGCGCCTCTTTTTCTTCTTGGGGTACCAGTCAGGACCCATCGCCTTCTTGACGTTCGCCAGGCTTTCCTGGCGGCGCACTTCGGCCGAATCAGGTGGGGGGGGCTTTTCCTCAGAGCTCAACCGCTTTTGGGCCGTTCTCGCAGGCAATACAGCGCCGCACGATGTCCCGCCCGCTGATTGTACGGAATGCGTAGCCGTACTGCAGCTTCCCGCAGCAGACGCAGCGCGCTTGGGGGTTCGTCGTAGACCACTGCGGGGTTCAGCAGAAGCGGGTCAATCTTCGCCTCGCATTGCTTGCACGTAGGGCCCACCATTTTGCAAACTGTGAGTATGTTAGCAAAATATATTGTTTTAACCAATTACTTTCGTCCAAATATTAGCCAATAGCACGGTAATAAAAGGCTGGTATTTATTATTAGGCAAAATATTAGAATGTTTTTAAATATTAGTATTTCGCTTAGCTTTAATATATTATTATCAGATTTTCAAACAAATACATACTTTACATGCAATATAAATTGACTAAAACAATTATCTATCGTGCGCGCATGCATTCGTCGTGTGCGGTGCACGGTAGCAGATACCGCAATGACCGTGCAGCCGCGCGCCTTCATTGCACGGTGGCAGTGGTGAGTGCCAGGTGAAGTAAAAAAGATATATACTCGCAAAGTCCCTACAGAAAGCGCTGGTTGTGAAGCCTACTTTAATATTAAAAAAATACTATCGTCTCTACTTTAGAAAGTCTGTGGAAAATAGCATCGCCGAGCTCTTACAATTGCGGCCTGTGAAGCTTATATTAATAATATTAATACTGCAAATATCGTCTTTACTTTGAAAAGAGCGTGGAAAAAAACATCCAAGAGCTCTTACAAAATACTGGTCTGTGAAGTCTACATTAATAATGATAAATATCTCTATTTTAAAAGTGTGCAGAGCTCTTAGAAAATAAAGTGGTTACTGTGCCCGATATGCAGTACTTACGACAGATTTTGCGCTGCTGAATGCAATAATCAAGTATCTGCGCAGCTCTCCTGACTGTTTGCAGCCAATCGATGCGTTTCGTGCTCGGCAGAAATGTTTACCTTACGTCCAATCGCGAGGGAGAGAGGCGGTCTGATCGTGCGACAGATTTAGTCAGTGTCGCAGGTCGGCAGGTATTGCCCAATCAGGGCGCGAGTTAATTGCGTAACGCTTTTGGATATATTTGTAATTTCGGCATAGTTAGGTCGAGTCAGAAAGATAGGTGCGGTCGGTAAGATGGGACGAAACTGTATTAGACAGACCGAGTGTAGCCATGCGGAAAGGCAGGAAAAGCAGAAAGACAGGGAGTGCGACGGACGGATTGACGGACGGACAGACAGACAGGCTGCAAGTTTAGGTGGCGGGAAACTAGCGGTCTGGGCGTCCGCTCCGCGGACGCTAGGGCATGGTTGGTTGGTGTAGAAAGGCCGACCACCTCCGCTGCGCTGCGATGGGCTTAGAATTTTTTCTCAAAGCGAAGCAACATATAGTACATGTATACTGTGATCTACGTATATTACGTTCCAAAACAGCACCGCACACATCCTTAGTGTTCACGTGTTATGGTAGATATGACCAGGGTTTAACGTGATCTGCAAGATGAACACCATCTTACCCGGGAAGGTTTTGTCTATAATCTCGTTTGAGCGCATTGCTCCTAAAATGACACGAATCGGAGGCGCGCGTGGTTGCAAAGCTAATATATGCTGTACGGAAGACGGGTCAGTATCAATGATGCTACGAAATATGCGTAGATCGGTGAGGAATCCCAGTGTAGCTAGAGTAAATACGCCTACTCACACATATTACAATCTGCACGTCATCGCCGTGAGGCAGTCGACACATATCATCGATTGCGACGGTCGAATAGAGCAATGTTAATCAGCTCCGCGCGCGGAGTATCTTTTAGGATAGGTAGTATTTGCCGATGTTCGCCACAAACATCAGTATTATGCTTTGAAATTATTCTGCTGAGCTGTTTGTGATGTTACTGAAGGGTATTTCCACTATCTTCCGCATGCATTTAATCTTACTTGCATAGCTGACGTACTTTCTGACTTATTTGTATAGCTACTGACTGACAGAGTGGCGTAAATCCTTTCAGACTGGGTCCGATATGTACGACAAAAGGCCTCGTCCAGATCGGACGAAGAGGCAACCCTGCGTGCACATTCTTTTTACCGGCTGCAACATACGAAGATATATGGCTGTAGGCAGAGTATCAGATCGTAGTGATGGTTAGACTTTAAATTGAATAATAGTTTCATGTACATTAGATGGAGTACTTTCGCTGCCCTACTTATCAGCTCGGCGTGCTATTTGATGTGTCCGTGCATATATCGCGAGGTCGTTAATGAGTGTAACTGCCACGCGCTCGTGATACCCAACCTATGCATGGGGTCCCTGTTTCCTTATCGGGACGTTTGCGTCGTCGTGCTAGCTTTCTGTGCGTACGCTATTGATGTTTTAGTCTGTATAATCAAGCGCGTCGCTGACTGGGCACAGGCCATTCCGCAGCGATACAGGTATGCTGAACGCGCGTCTGTTAGCAGTAGCCAACGCGATATATACGCGCGAGGCGGGCACACCTTATAGTCATCCGCAACTCAACCGAGCTCTTATCTCGGTCGTTATGGACAGGACACTAAAGTACAATATTGCGTTCAGACACATCGACTTGCCACGTCCATCTGTACGGTCTGCACTGTCACGCAGTGGTAGTATCTATGTAAACACAGCTTATTCAACGTAGTTCCCTATTCAATACTGTGGTTTAAATTGTGAGCGCCAATTAGTGCAATATACGCTATAAGAGCTGATGGTACAGATAACATGGTTTTGCGTGTGCCCACGTGAGCGAGTGTACGTGCCATCTACGGTGACGCGTATGCAGATAGGGACGGTCAGCTTGCGGCTGTCCACAGTACATACCTCGTGCTAATTATTATATGAAACGCGCTACGCTCTATAGGTGCGTAAACACGCTTGGTAGCGCCACAGTCAGCTTACAGTATGTGCGACCCCAAGCCTTGCACCGTCAGCCAGTATACAAAAACTATGCGGGGTAAGGGGCTATAAGGATGTATATCCAAATCACCTGCTCTTCTGCTGCTTCTTTTGCTCGATGTACTTGGCGTTTCGGGCGGTCAGCTTGCAAGGGCGGCTGCGCTTCTTCTTCTTCTTCTTGGGGTACCAGTCAGGACCCATCGCCTTCTTGACGTTCGCCAGGCTTTCCTGGCGGCGCACTTCGGTCGAATCAGGTGGTGGGGGCTTTTCCCCCCAGAACTCAACCGCTTTTGGGCCGTTCTCGCAGGCAATACAGCGCCGCACGATGCCCCGCCCGCTGATTCTACGGAATGCGTAGCCGTACTGCAGCTTCCAGCAGCAGACGCAATGCGCCCGGATATCCGTCGTAGACCACTGCGGGTCCAGCAGAAGCGGGTCAATCTTCGCCTCGAATTGCTTGCACGTAGGGCCCACCATTTTGCAAACTGTGAGTATGTTAGCAAATTATATTTTTAACCAATTACTTGCGTCCAAATATTAGCCAATAGCACGGTACTGTAAGGCTGGTATTTATTATTAGGCAAAATATTAAAACAAAATATACTATTACTATTTGGCTTTGCCTTAATAATAATATTATCAGATTTCCAAACAAATACATACTTTACATGCAATATAAATTGACTAAAACAATTATCTATCGTGCGCGCATGCATTCGTTGTGTGCGGTGCACGGTAGCAGATACAGCAATGACCGTGCAGCCGCGCGCCTTCATTGCACGGTGGCAGTGTTAAGTGCCAGGTGAAGTAAAATATATTTATATTCGCAAAGTCCCTACAAAAAGCGCTGGTTGTGAAGCCTACTTTAATATTAAAAAATACTATCGTCTCTACTTTAGAAAGTCTGTGGAAAAAAGCATCGCCGAGCTCTTACAAATGCGGCCTGTGGAGCTTAAATTAATAATATCAATACTATTAATATCGTCTTTCCTTCGAATGATCTCAGAGTTGTCTTTGCCAGCCGTAAATTTTTTGGGTACCGGGCAGAGCCCGGGGAATGTAGCTCGAACGAATTCATTTGTTTTGCGTTGCCTGAGAAGACATTCGTACGACATTTGAGAAAGCTGTGCGAAAGAGAAATTGAAGGGGTGGGAGCGACGAGATAGCAGTTATCCCTAAGATTCCCAGCTACTGGTGACTCTGTTTCTGGCGTGAAGTGACAGTGGTGTGTGCATTTTGTCTGGCACGGAGTTGCTTGGCAGCGGCAGCGTGAACGTCGTGAGGGGTGCTTCTGTAAGTGGCGACGCCTCGTGCCGACGACAATTTGCAGCGATCCATCGGTTGACGCTGTCTCGGGCGTGGTGACGCTGGCTTCCGAGCCTTCATATGAGCTAGCGGTGGTGAGGTGTCGCTACTTTAGTGCATCTTCTGCAGCTGGTCGTGTGGCTTGTCTGGTGGCGTTAGCCGCCTTTCGACGGGCGGCACAGTGTTGGTGTCTAGCGGTGGTGGTAGTGTGTCGAGTGGTGCTGGGAGTGGTGATACCAACGACGATTTGTGTGTGTCTGGCGACGTGTCGGCTGTGTCGCGAACGTGCTCCATCTTCCACAAGCACAGGGATCTGCAAGCTGTGATCCAATTCAGGGACGAAGAACAGAACGGGAAAGATGAGGACGCGCACATTTGCGGTAGCATTGTCTCAGCACTGCAGAGCTACTGGCTGGACCAGTGTGGGCAAGCCCTTGAGATCGATCTTCGGTGGATGCTTACGAGATCCTAGTCGTACGTGTAGGGTACACCGTGTAACCTTTTTCAACATGTGCAAGCCAACTATACTAGACCAGTGTTCGAGAAGGAGGCGCTACGTGACGTGTTCGACGGGGCGATGCACCTCATTTCCTGCTCGACCGAGAGCAATGGCAAGAGGTCGCACAGTGACGCACTCGCGGCGCTGCAGGTTGACGGTGACAGTTCGTAATCCATCTGTGAGTTCCCGCAGTTCCTTCTCATTAGCCGCTGCTTGCTGGGCATGGTGAGCAACCACGCGTACAATGACTTGTCCGTGAGAAATCCACTCAGGGCGTATTTAATAAGCCCCAGCAAACGTACGAGCGGGTCTCGCGAGTGACCACGCATCATGGATTGATCGCGATGGCACCAATAACAGCAAAACTTTCGACATGGTCCAAGCCACCTATACACGCACTATAGAAGAAGAACGACTCCAACATCTTAGCGACATTACGTTAGCGGGGTTCCACCTGCCAGTGACCACCAGCGTGATCGATTCTTCGATGCAGTAGTCGTCAACCCCAAAACTGGAAGCCTAACTAGCCATTACTTTGCATTAACACAAATGCAAGCAACAGCCATCACGCATAGTGACTGGGCGCACACAACCAACTCGTACCTTATGCTGTTCAGATCGTCACCAAGTGGTCAGACTCCATAAAGCGACAGCACTAAATCGTTGTCGACGCTTGAAACACGCTCACCAGACCAAGCGACCGCCCATAGAAGCATGGACCAGGGCATACCAATCTACCGATTCAAGAGAGACAGAGGCCTTGCGCATGTCAGCATGACGACGTCTCCACCCACCAAATATCTTCGCGATCATGGGCGTAGCGGTAAGTCGAGGCAACAGCAGCACGCCCACCTTCGTGCACGCCGTACTGTAGTCTCGATCGCGCAGCGACGACCCCATAGGGTGACACTTTACATCCGGGAGGTACTTGCCGTCATCGACGATGCAGCGACGACTGCCTCCGCCAACGTGGTAGACCGCCTTGCAGAGACGTCGCCCTTGGGCGTTAACGACTTCCTAGTCCACTCGCTACAACCGATACAGCAGTCACTGCGTCAGCCAATATGCCTCCTCTCTATAATGAAGCCTCTAGAGCTACGCTACGTACTACATCCGCTGCCCCTGTTTCCTGCCCGTCCAACGTCCCCCCCCCCTTCCCCGCTTGATACGCTATCTCTGCCCGCCAGCTATCCCCCTCCGACGGAAAAGCGAGCCTCCCATTTTCCGAGAGACCAAAAAGCAGCTTTAAAAAATGGTGTGTGCACTCTACACAACTCACAGGTTGCTCGATTGTGGCCAACCCAGAAATGATGTCCGAATCGGATCACAGAGAAAGACCAATACGACATTGGATAGTCTTCGAACTACAAATTTGGGAATGGGCAAACTTACATGTACTTTGTAGTACTTTTGAGGTGCCATTTTTTAGTTTAGTAACTGCAACCTTTCCGATGAGACAGGGTTTGTCCAAGTGTAATTAAAGTAATTTATCTTACGGTTATTTTGCTTTGGTTTCAGAACCATCAAGTGGAGGGATCGTGCCACGGCAGTCCTCGGCTACCAGCACCTTCTGTACGCCTTTGAGAGCCCTCAGCCGCCACCCCCAGCTCTCCCTACTGCGCTAGCATGGCGCGGACGCACAAGACGTCGATGAACAAGGCGCAGATGGCGGAACAGGCTCGACTGGAGGAAGAGGCGCGTCGGAACGAAGAAGCCAGACGGGCAAACACTCCAGCAGTACGCACCCTATAGGGTACAATCCAGTGTACCCCAGGCTACATAAAGATTGACCTGGCACTCTTGTGGACACCTGGTACACGATACCAGGTGATCTAGGAGTCTGTCAGGTCATGACTACTTAGCTGCACTATAGGTTACCTCTAGTTTGTATATGACCCAAGCTAAGTTTACTTATAAATTCATCAGTCTTATGTGGTGAAGCGCCTGTTGGTTAAGTTGGGAAGTGGATTGATGGACTACGACCCGATCGGGTGTTGGAATACCATCAGTGACGAAGGCGCATCAGCGAGTGCATACGCAATCGGCGAGATCGGATCTACAAGGTACAGTTATTTCGATACACGATCGACTAAGTCGATCGACTGATTTGTACCCATGCCGGGTAAGTACGATATTACCTTCAAGGGCCAGTTTGGTGATCATAGGATATGCAAGGTAGTGGACCGCAAGACTTTAAGAATTAACAGAGTGAAATTTGCCTCATCAGCAACAAGTGTCTTCGTAAATAGACTTCGAGAATGTAGCGGGAGGTATATTGGTCGATACCGTAACCAAGTTAAGTCTACCGAGTACGCGTGTCAGTCGCCGGAGTTTGCAGCTTGGCCGGTCGATCGTCTTCACTCTCACCCTCAACGCCCATGCAATAGGAAGCGGTCAAGTCAAGTGTGGTGTAGTAGAACACACAAATATCGTCAGATGTGGATTCCTTACACAAACCACAACGAATCGCCGAGTTAGGTCGGCGGTTTGTATGGCCTGCGCAGAGGGTGGTCCCCTCGCGGTCCGGCCCTTCCGGGACAGACGAGTGGCTCGCTTCCACTCGGTTCCGACTAACCAAGTCAGATCACTTCCGAGGCTCCGCCGAGTTTGGTTCGGCTGAGCTCGTTCACAACCCTGTGTCCTCCACCAAAGGATGGACGACGGCGCGCGAGCGCTTTTACAGGTCACCGAGCGCAGAGGCTGCTCAGCTAGAAGTGTTACGGCACCCGGGCTATCCGACGTACCGGCCCGCTGAGTATGCGGGACTTTCTTTCGCGCGTAGCGAGACTTTGTCCTACCCGGACCGACCTAATCTCTTGGCGCTACCAGTCAATACCCTACAAGCTATGCCTCTCGAGTATTGACGGCAGGCATAATCCAGCCCTATGCAGGGACTTACCGGAAAAGTGTACACGTGTCTTGGACTAGGAAAATTCTGCTCTGTTATCTTCTGGGAGCCCTTTTGGCTCCCCCTATTTAATCCTATGCTTCTCATACAAATATCTAATGAAATGTAGTCGTTTCGGATCTTTACCGACCCTTCAGCTGAGTTCCGGCGACCGTTGAGCTCAGCGGCTGTCCGGATAGCATATCCGGACAGATCGCCGAGTACTTACCGTGATTCTTGGCTCCTAAGCTCTGGGTTATCAGACCGAGCCGATTCTTGACCTAAAGTAGGTCGGCGTATGGTCGAATCTGGAAATCCCTACACCACAACTGCCCCGGTTATGATACGAGCCGAGCTGGTGAGTGTCTTAATCCTTCATTTTGTTCTGCCACCGTTGGTCCGTACTCGGCTGATGACGTCTCGCGGCTCCCCACCACCTTCTTTGGTACGTTCGTTGCTTCCGCTGTCACTCACTTGGCAGCTCCTTACTCTTCGCATGTTGTTCCAGCACAACCCGTGGCACCATCCTTCTTCTCCAACTCCTCGTCGAGGTGAAGGCGTGCCAGCTGAGTCGATTCCTCGACCCGTCGGTACTCGTGGGGTCAGCGACCGGCATGAAGCTGGGCTGGTTGACTTGACAACTTCCCATGAGTCTGACGCGGAGTCGGCAGAGTCTTCTCGCGTGCGCCTTCCTGGTCCACCGAGCTTGCCGGGCGACACCACTTCGGGCGCCACCAATCAGCCAAGCTTGGCTGCTCCAGTGAGTCTTGACTCTCTCATGGCCAGAATTAACGAGCAAGGGCATGATCGCCGAGAAGAATTGACCTTCTTGGCGAGGCTCATGGCTTACGGATTTACTCGTTCCGTGGAGCCCTCCGATCCCGTGCAGCGGCGAGCGATTTTGCATGCTTCTTCCGCGGGGGAACTGTTGGATATCTTGAAAGGCAACTACGCCGCGCTTGATTATCCAAAGATCATCGGCGATCTCCAAGCTGACAATCAAGCTGCTCAGGAGGAGAGCCGCGCACTGACTCGGCGACTGGACTCGCTTGCTCTCAGCAATGTCGACTTGTCAACTCAGCTCTCGTCGGCTCAACAGCAAGTGTCTCGATTGGAGGCTACTGCCACGCAATCGGCTAATCTCCTCGCGTCGCTGCGAAAGGCTGTAGCTCTGAGTAAGGCAAAACTTGCTCGGGCCATCG